AGTGCACAAGAACCATAACTCTATCTCTGACTAATTACAGAGTTATTGCCCTTTGTTACTTTTTTCCTTGTCCGGGGGTATAACTTGAAAACTTCTTGGTTGGAATTCAAAACAACTTCATTACAATTGTCAAACACAATAAGGGGAAGTGCAGTGCACAAGAACATAACTCTATCTAAAGTAATTACAGAGTTATTGCCCTTTGTTGCTTTTTTTTCCATTGCTTTTTTTTTGTCAGGACCATAACTTGAAGACTAATAGTTTGAATTCAATATAATTACTTACAATGGTCAAGCACATTGAGAGGAAGTGCAGTGACAAGAACCATAACTCTATCTTGACTAATTACAGAGTTATTGCCCGTTGTTACTTTTCCTTGTCCAGGGCATAACTTGAAAACTACTGGTTGGAATTCAAAACAACTTCCAATACAATTGTCAAACACAGTAAGGGGAAGTGCGAAGTGCACAAGAACTAAAATAATTCTATGTAAAGTAATTACAGACTTATATTGCCTTTGTTGCTTTTCCATTGCTTTTTTGTCAGGACCAAACTTGAAGACATTATCGTTTGAATTCAATATAACTACATACAAATGGTCAAGCACATTGAGAAGAAGTGCAGTGCACAATCAAAAAACATAACTCTATCTTGACTAATTACAGAGTTATTGCCCTTTGTTTCTTTTCCTTGTCCGGGGCAATAACTTTGAAACAAACTGGTTGGAATTCAAAACAACTTCATACAATTGTCAAAAACAATAAGGGGAAAGTGCAGAGCACAAGAACCATAAACTCTATCTAAAGTAATTACAGAGTAATTGCCCTTTGTTATTTTCCCATTGATTTTTTTGTCCGGACCATAACTTGAAAACTAATGGTTGGAAATCAATATAACTGCATACAATTGTCAACAACATTGAGAGGGGAAGTGCAGTGCAGTGCATAAAAACCCATAACTCTATTCTTGACTAATTACAGAGTTATTGCCCTTTTTTCTTTTCCTTGTCCGGGGCATAACTTGAAACTCTGGTTGGAATTCAAAACAACTTTCATACAAAAATTGTCAAACACCATAAGGGGAAGTGCAGGTGCACAAGAACCATAAGTAATCATAAATATCTTAAGTAATTACAGAGTTATTGCCCTTTGTTACTTTTCCATTGATTTTTTTGTCCGGACCATAACTTGAAGACTAATGGTTGGAATTCAAATATAACTTCATACAATGGTCAAGCACTTTAAAGAAGAAAGTGCATTGCACAAGAACCATAACTCCATCTTGACTAATTACAGAGTTATTGCCCTTTGTTACTTTCCTTGTCCAGAGCATAACTTGAAAACTACTGTTTGGAATTCAATATAACTTCATACAGTTTGTCAAGGACATTAAAAGAAAGTGCAGTACACAAGACAGCCATAACTCCATTTGGACAAAATACAGAGTTATTGCCCTTTGTTACTTTTCCTTGTCAGGAGCAATAACTTAAAAAACGTTCTGGTTGGGAAATTCAAAACAACTTCATACAATGGTCAAGCACAATAAGAGGAAGTGCAGTGCACAAAGAACTATAACTCTATCTTCAGTATTATATAGAGCTTATTGCCCTTTGTTCCTTTCTTTGTTTTTCTGGACTTATTACAGAGTAATTCAATTAAACTTCATCAATGGCCAACCACATTGAAAGGAAATGCAACATATAAGAACCACAACTTTCTTTAATTGCCAACAACCATAAATCTATATTTCAATTCTTTTACAAGGTATTCTGTTACTAGTAACATCCTCATTTCTGAAGCAGTCTTGTGGGGTTAATGATCACATTTAGTGATAGTTCTAGTTTAGATTAATATATGCAAGGTCAAGGTCACTTAAGATGATAAAATACAGATATTTTGTCCAGAGCATATCTTCTCTACACATAGTAGGATTCTAATGAAACTTCATTGAAATGTTCGCCACTATGAGAAGCATAAGTATAACTTGAAAACTAGTTGTTGGAATTGAATACAACTTAAGACAGTGGTCAAGCACATTGAGGCGGATGTTGAGTGCATAAGAACCACAACTCCATATTAACAAAAAAAAAGAGTTAGTGCCCTTTGATACTTTTCCTTGTCTGGAGCATAACTTGAAAAGTACTGGTTGGAATTCAAAACAACTTCATACAATGGCCAAGAACAATAAGAGGAAGTGCAGTACACAAGAACCATAACTCAATCTTCACTAATAACATAGGTATTGCCCTTTGATTCTTTTTCTTGTCCAGTGCATAACTTGAAAATTAATGAATTGAATTCATTGCAACTTCATACAATGATCAAACACAATAAGAGGAAGTGCATTGCACCAAAACCATAACTCTATCCAGAGTAATTATAGAGTGATTGCCCTTTGTTAATTTTCCTTGATGCAGAGCATAACATGAAACCTACTGATTGGAATTCAATACAATTTCATACAATGGCCAAGCATATTGAATGGAAGCGCAGTGCACAGAAACCATAACTCTTTCTTGACTCATTTAAGAGGTTTTGGCCCTCGTCAATTTTTATTGTCCTGTGCATTACTTAAAAATTAATGGTAGGAATTCAATGAAACTTCATACAATTGACAAGCGCAGTGAGATGAAGTGCAGTGCATAATAACAGTAACTCTAGTTGGACTAATTACATAGTTATTGCCCATTGTTATTTTTTTGTCCAGTGCATAATTTGAAAACTAGTAATTCAATACAACTTTATATAATGGTCAAGTGCAATGAGTGGAAGTGCAGTGTACAATAACCCTAACTCCATCGTCAGTATTAGCAGAGTAATTGCCCTTTGTTCCTTTTCCTTGTCCGTGCATAACTTTAAAACTTAAGGTAAGAATTCAATGCAACTTCATACAATGGTCAAACGCAATAAGAGGAAGTGCAGTGCTTTAGAAGCTTAACTCCTTTTGGACTTATGACAGAGTAATTCAATAAAACGTCATCAATGGTAAACCACAGTGAAAGGAAATGCAACTAGCAAGAACCACAACTATCTTTTATTGCCCGCAACCATAACTGTATTTCATCTCTTTTATAAGGTATTCTGTTTTAGTAACTTTCTCATTTCCGAAGCAGAATTGTGGGGGTATTAATCACATTTAGTGATATTTCTAGTTTGATTAGTTTTAAGAGATTAATTGAACTACTTTTTATCATCACAATGTAGGAACAATACCAGCTAGATGGGATATAAGCTCGTTTAATGATATATTTGGGAACGCATGTTTCAATGGAAATTGTTCAGATATAAAGATAAAGAACTTGAAAGCTCCTGACTTAGAAAGTAATCAAGTAGAAGTTCAAGACACGGAACAAATTGCTGTTAAACTAACAAATTCAGTACAGAAACGTGAGATAGTTGCTGTGCAAGAAACAAGTCCATCAGCAGGGAACAACACACCTGGTGTCCAGCAACCCATGGACGCCTCACTCAGAAGCGCTGAAATTAATAACCCTTTACCAATGGAAAAGAAAAAAAAGTTTGACGAAGTTGATTCTTCAGGACCAATGGAAGTCCAAGTAACTGAATTAGATTCTGTTAGCAGGGATGAAATGAATAAAATAAAAGAGAAAGAAATAGAACTGAAAAGAAAAGAATTGCAGCTTAATTTTATGGAAAAAATTTACTCATTCATAAAAGGTCCTGAGGATTTACCGGTTGCGTTACAGTACATGAAGGAAGTCAATATCCAGATGGATAGATTATCAAAGGGCAGTGTCATTTTCAGTATTTACATTGGCTCACTAGATGCTTTGCAACAATTTGAAAAGTTATGGAGATATGGTGGGCTGAAAAGCCTGCTTGACAAAGAAATGTTAGGTGAAGACATGCTTAAGGTATGCATAACTTAGGTTTTACTGCATCAATATTCTCTCTTTTTTGCTCACAAAAATAAACGATTCGGTAGGAGTTTAAGATAAACTTGATTTGTTGCATTTAACTGTCCGTTTTCATGCGACAACAATGGTATGTTCTTGTGTTTGTTTCAAATCAAATACTGTGAAGTGTCATTACGTTCCTCTTAACCTTTTCCTTTGTATACATGTAAGCGTGTTTCGACGGCTTTTTGCCCCCCCCCCTTTGAGGCCTCAAACAGTGAAAAATGCCCTATTTAGGCCCCAAACACTGTTTTTCGTTTGAGAAATGTTGTTAAAAAAGTGGCCACTTTTTCGGCACCGTCCCCCATCCAAATGTTACATGAGGGGTTTGCCAGAAAAGGGATGTGGCCCCTTCTGTTTGGGGGTTTTGAAGGGGGGGGGGCGGAGTCCCCCTCATCGTCAAGAAAATTTTGGACATGTGACAGGCTAAAAATGGCCTCAGGTTAATCTTAGGGTAACTAGAAATCGACGCTGAAAAGCCTTCTACTCTATCTCAATTCATTTAGAAGTTGCAGCACTTTGAAATCAGTTCTGATGAAAAAACAACAACAAAAAAACAATGCAACGTAGTGATTTTTGGCAATTTTGAGACGTCCCCCCTTTGCCATGGTAACAGGAAATTTACGATTGAGCAGTCAACATTTGTGCCAAGTTTCATCAGTATTGAAGCATTTTTCATAGTTTCATAGCAGTTTGAATTTGTTACAGGAGGCTTTTCAATGAAACCGACCTTTTTTGCAATATGCTCATGGGGTAAAAGGTTAGTTAAAAACATAAAACATATCAAAAAACAACAATTTTTCACCAAAATTAGATGTTAGGGCACGCGTTAAAATAGAAAAACTAGTTTTTGGGTAATTCCAATGGTTTTCATCATTTTTTGTTAATTAAAAAATAAAAAATGTCAAAAAACAACAATTTTTCACCAAAATTAGGTGTTAGGGCACGCGTTAAAATGGAAAAACTAGTTTTTGGGTAATTCCAATGGTTTTCATCATTTTTTGTTAACCTTGTCCCTTATATAAACGTGTTTCGACGACTTTTTGCCCCCCCCCCTTTTTTGAGGCCTCAAACAGTGAAAAAATGCCCTATTCAGGCCCCAAACACTGTTTTTCGTTTGAGAAATGTTGTTAAAAAAAGTGACCACTTTTTAGGCGCCGCCCCCATCCAAATGTCATCGCAAAGAAAATTTTGGACATGTGACAGGCTCAAAATGGCCTCAGGTCAATCTTAGGGTTACTATTAACCGATACTGAAAAGCTTTCTACTCTATCTCAATTCATTGAGAAATTGCAGCACTTTGAAGTCAGTTATGATGGAAAAAAGCAATGCAAAGTAGTGATTTTCGCAATTTTGAGACGTTCCCCCCCCGTTACCATGGTAACAGGAAATTTACGATTGAGCATGCTGTTACAGAGGCTATGGTCTAGTTAACATTTGTGCCAAGTTTCATCAGTATTGAAGTATTTTTCATACTTCCATAGCAGTTTGAAATTGTTACAGGAGGCTTTCAATGAAAACGGCCTTTTTTGCAATATGCTCATGGGGTAAAAGCCTACAAAAAGGTTAATGTGTTTTACTCCTATCGAATAATTTGCGACCAAACAAAACAGACGCTATGTATGAAAACGAAATAACGTTTCGTCGAGAAAGTTATTATTTTTCTCGTAATTTATTGCAGGCGTTAAAGGAAACTGCACGTGAAAATGGCCATCCAGTTGACAATATAAAGTCGGAACTAAAGGTTTTTGAAACAGACATTGAACGTTGTAGATCATCACTGATGAAGTCATCCTTTGGTAAATCATTTATTCACGGTCTATTTCTTTTATCAAATCGTCTGCATTTAAACTTGTAAAAAACACAACTTGAAGTAAGATATTTATCTACAAAAAATAAAATTTTAAGAGTTCTTAGCATAGTAGTTTAAAAGCTAGTTTTTTGTTTCAGCTGTTTTTGTAAATTTAGGTAAAAAACCCTTTAATTAAAAAAGGGATTTATTTGAAAAGGAATGTTATTACTAAATTAAAGTTGATAAGATTATTTTGAAAAACCGTCATATTTTTGTTAAACTTTCACCAAAAAGTTATTTTTATACATTTTTTAGTTATTGAACATGTTTGATTTGAAATTTTACTTTAAAACCCTATGTTTTTCTAGTTTTTCGTTAAAAAGTTTGGAAAGACTGCCCATGGGCGGGTAGAAATAAAAGCTAAAAAAGGAAGGGGAAGCTACAAATATGCCATTGAACTTCTCCAAAGAGTTTGGGGGTGTTACTCGAGGACCCTTTTATATTTGATAGAGCGCATTGCTTCTTTGAGTCTGATTCTCTGAAAGAGAGGCTACAACTCGAGCATACAGCGGTTTCCAGTCGTTCTCATATTACGCCTGTAGTTGGAGTTTTTAAAGACTGGTTGAATACAGAATTAGGAAAATATTTGGCGAATATAGATGATGCCACTAGTCAACATCTTATTACACTAGGTGTACATTAAAGTCTTTTTGTACTGAGGGCATGTGGCAATCCCACAGGAATTTTTACGAAAATTTTTCGTTGTAAAAAAAAGAGACTTTTATTTTTTAGAGAAAATTTGAAGAGGTGTAAAAGAGCTCGAAAAAAATGTTTTTTTTGGGGAATTTGTTTAAAAGTCCAAAAGAGGTAGTTGTTGAAAAGAGTTTTTACAGAGGGCTTGCAAAAATCTGATAGGAAAAGAAAATAGGTAGGCGGGGTATTAAAACTTTTAGCAGAATATTGTAAGGGTGTTTTTTTTAGAAAGTTTTACTATGTAGTTGCAAAAAGGGTGACATGAAGACAATTGCAGTTCCCTTTGGTTATGTGCAGACACGAGGGGTTTGTTGGGGTTGTTTGTCAATGAGGAGATAAAGAGAGGTTTTTCCTGTTCCCCTTAAAAACCAAAGAGCTGCGAGAAGGTATTCTTTGGCAAAAACCCCCAAATGTATTTCAAAAAGCCTTTTATAGCTCTGACCTGATTATTGTGAATTGGGGGGTTTAGCATGGGGGTAGTATTTTAAGGGGGGAAATATAAAAAAAGAAAAAAGTAAAACCAGAAACCTTTTGGGTTATTTTTCGTACAATGTGGAAAAATCTTTCGTTTTAGAGGAGGATTGCAGGGTTTAAAATCCACAGTAAACGGTATTTTTGGGAGGGAATTAAAACATAGGACTTTTATCTGCAGTCGTCCGTTAGATGAAGTTTTGGGATCGGAATATTTAAAATGTTTCCCTTCAATGTATGAAAAAAGTTTGAAAAAACTTTTAAAACCCTTGGCTTCTCAAAATACCTTTAGAGATGGGTCATTTCAGAAACATCAGCCATCTTAACATATCAGACAATGCTTTGTTTGAGAAAACCTCTCGACCAGTTGGACTTATGTTTGCAACATCACTGAAAAATCTTGAAGTTCAAAATTGCTCCCTGGGGGATGATGGATTGAAAAATTTGGCTGTAGATTTATCTAATATGGCACATCTGAGGCAGCTAAATATAGCAAATAATCGGATTACTGCAAGCGGACTGTTATCTTTAACGAAAGCCATGGGTGGAAATAAAGCAATGACAGGGCTTCGAATACATAAAAACTATTTCGGTAGAGATGGAAGTGTTATTCTTGCCAGTTGGCTAGAATCTTTGATCTTGCTTGAGGTGTTAAATGTCAGTGAATGTGGAATCGGAGACAAAGGAAGTCCAATTATTGCCAGTTCTCTGGTAAGCAGATCTTTGAAGAAGCTGTCAATGCGAAAAGAATGAATTGTCTCAAGGGGATCACGTGATTTTTTCAGGAACTTCCAAAGGCCACCTTATCTGGAACACTTGGATTTTAGTGAGAACAAAATATTTGCAACATCTGATAGAAGAAGTCTTTCAGTAGCTGAAGATTTGTCCCCAACTGCACAAGAAGAACCATTTCTAGACTTCCTTCTGCAGCCACGAGCAATGAACCACCTTTCTCTATGGAATACGTATCTTTGGTCAAAAGCGCATCTTCATGAGTTTAAACAGTTATAAATGCTTCGAAGAAATGACTTATCTCTGTTTACAAGAAAACAATATATCCGATGACTTCGCAAGAGATGTGTGCGAATGCATCAAGCTTTCAAACGTATATATATCCAACACTTCAATCTACGCCAGAACCACATTGGTAATAATGGGGCTAAATGCATAGCGGAGATGCTTGGTGAACAGAAGTATTTGAAAGAAATTCTTCTGGATAGAATGAGATAGGTGACGACGGAGCGAACCAGATTGCGTCAGCTTCTATGTTCTTGCCATCCTTTCAGTTTCTTGATCTGTCTTGCAACAACATTTCCCGGGGCAGGATTTATGCGTATTGTTGGGGAACTTGAAGCCAGGATAAACACTGGGGAAGAGTCATCTTCTCCTGGCATAAAGCTTGGTGAGCGAAGACTCATTCAAAAGCAGAGTTCTTATGAAGAAAACAACTTTAAAATTAGCAGAGAGATGGACAAGTTTTTGGTTACAATGTAAGTGCTGGCATGATTAATAATCAGATGAGAATGTTTGCAACAAACTGTATTGCCTGGCTGTTTGTTTCGAGGATAAGATAGTAATGATATACATGTTGTACATGTACATAGACATTGTGTAATAGGACCTTAACGAGACACAGATTTTATGTTTGTAATTCATGGAATTGTCAGTATATGATCAAGCCAGTTCAGTTTGTGTGTTTTAAGATTTATGAATTTGTGACAAGACAATCATTTGAAAAGCAATATTTCATTAATGACTCATTTCTAGTTTTGAGTAAGTTTAAACTGTGTAGTCATATTGGATTTGGTAGCAAACTGAAATTTCATATCGGATGTTAATAGTTAAACATTATCTTTGATATAAATTTTGCATGAATTTTATTCCATCACAATGTAATCTTTTGACATATTTATAACTTTATTTACTTTACTGAATATCTAACAAATGTTTCACTGACGCAGCAGAAAATGAAAAACATGTACAGAGACATATAATATGTATTTTAACGTCTCTGAGAGGTAGTTGTTTGAAGTATACATTTAATATAAACTTTTATATTGGCTTATTAGTGTATTAACTACTAGCATTTTTAGCTTATAGATATACATATTTGGCTTGTATTTTAAATTGCATTTGCATCGAGTAATTGTTATGTGTGTTAATGTATCTTGATAAGGAAAACTGTGGTCCTGTCAGTAGGATCTTTTAAGTGCTAATTATAGATTTTTCTACTGTTTGTCATTGTCATAGAGCATTTGTATACATATTCATGGCCGGTCATGTTCTTGATTAATTTGATTTTTATTGAAGAATTACAAATTATATTATTTGTTCAGATAATGTACTTTGTCACCTTTGCACACAATATAATTGGTTTAACTATGTAATAATTGTCTAGAAGTTCAGCATTATTTTCCTAATAGAGTGCATATTTAGATATGTGTACCTAGATTGTTAAATGTTTCACATCGAATAGCGTCCCTGGTTTATGCTTAAAGGTTGTATTGTTATATATGTTTACTGGAGCGAATGGGTTCCTATTTAATAGAAATAACTTGTAAATACAAGTATCAATGGCCGATGGTGAAGGTAGATGAAGGTGCCACGTCTTGAAGGCGGTGGTTATATACACCTGCGTCAAAGAGTCGAATTTTGCTGAATAAAATTGTGTTGTTTTTTAATGCACAAGCTTGAGAAATTGGATAACACTGGGTTTTCTTGTTCCATGTGCTTGTGTATCTTGTTTTCTTTGTTCTATAAAATTTTGGAAGGATAATAGTCTTGTATTTCTATTGTTAGATAATAATGTTTGTAGAAGATTTAAGTTCTGTTTTAAGTTTATTCTAACGTTGTATATAAGAGATTATTGTGTGTTACATAATAAAGAGGACATTTAATATAGTTCCCGTCGTACGTTTTCCTTGTACCACAGATAAATATGTATTAAAGCTGCATGCCTGCAGATGAGGCAATATATTTTAAGAAAAAATAAAATTTAGAAAAATGTACATTAGAAAAGTAAAACTTTCAAGTACAGTGTCGATTTACATGTTGTGTGCGATTTATGACTGATTTTGCAGTACTTGTCAGTACACACCATATATTTCTAGTGCGTTACTATCGCAGTAAGGACATATTTTGCATATTTTTACCTCTGTAATTTAACATGGATTGTAAGTGGTGTTTACTTTCATTGTTCCCTTTTTATTAGCTCGACTTTTCTATGAAAAGGGGAGCTATCCTACTCGCCCCGGCGTCGGCGTTGGCGTCACACCTTGGTTAAGTTTTTCGTACCACCCCACTTTATTTCAGAAGTATTACAAGTATGGCTTTGAAACTTACCATACTTGTTCACCATCATAACCTCCATCTACAGACAAGAGTACATGACTCTGTCAAGGTTTTTGACAGAATTATGGCCCTTTTTTGACTTAGAAAGTGTATTGAGCTTGGTTAAGTTTTTTGTACCACCTCACTTTATTTCAAAACCATTGGAGGTATTGCTTTGAAACTGACCATACTTGTTTACCATCACGACCTTCATTAACAGACAAGAGGACATAACTCTGTCAAGGTTTTTGACAGAATTATGCCCCTTTTTGACTTAGAAAATACATTGAATATGGGTAAAATCCACTTATTGCCTTAACCCTTTGAGATATTGCTTTGAAACTTTTAATGCTATTTCACATCACACAATTCAGTAAAATAATTCTTCACTAAATATCTTAATGCTCATGGCCATTGTTCACTTTAAAAATACAGAGATTCTTGTATTGCCTTTTACTGCAAAAACTTTTTTTATTGGCAAGCAATAAAAAAGTCGAGCGCGCTGTCTTACGGACAGCTCTTGTTATTTTTCTTCTACATTTTCAATTTATTCATGAAAATAACCAGGAATCTGGAGGCATGCTGCTTTAAGCAAACTAAATGCCTTTGCAACATCATTGGTACCCTTCAAAATGCATGCTGGGAAAGATAAAAAAAAATCGTGGTTGCGTCCAAGGATATTATTTTCTGTCTGATATGACGACATAATCAGTTCTATCTGTGGGCTGGCGCCGTGCCCACAAAGAAATAATCGGGTTCATTGCATTATGAAACTTGTTTTGATCATTATAATTCTTAAATAATATGGTTCATAATACGAAATATGAAAATTTGATTGATACAGAATTTATTTTAGTTCGATTGTGTATGAAGCTATTGGCTTATAGACACACTTTCGTATCCGTTCTTGGAACCAGCCAGTACTGAGCAATCGGTGTAACGTTTCTTGCTTAAGGAAACAACGAGGTTTGAACCTATGCTGCAAGCGATCATTAGATCACTAGTCTGACGTGTTAACCACTTTGCCATGCCGCCACAAATAATATGAAAATTTGCTGATTTGCAATGAAACAAGCATATTTTGAAAAAGGTATTTCGGAATAACAATGCCCGCTTAGCTCAATAGGTAGAACATCGATCGTATAGGTA